ACTCTATGTTTATCTACACTGGAAACCTCCTCTATGTTATTCTTCCACCTTGCAGTTTCCCAAAGAGGTAGTATGCCTCTCAAGTATTCTCAGTCAAGAGCTACCAAACCTGTGACGTCACCGTGTACTATTTCTTGTGACCACAGATTTTCTTTGTTCGTTTCAACATAATTTTTTTGTGATAATCTTTTTGTTTATTTTCATTCTTTAGTTGTTTGAGCATGCTTAAATTTGTTTCTTCTTGTGATTTGTTTATTCTAATTCTTATTCACCTTTTTGATTGGTTTCTTCAAAATTGTGTCGAACAATTGTTTTCATTCTAGCCTCTTGACTACATGTTTATTTCAACTGGGAACCTTCTCTATGTTATTCTCCCGCCTCGCGGTTCCCCAAAGAGGTAGTATGCCTCTCAAGTATTCTTAGTCAAGAGCTACCAAACCTGTGACGTCACCGTGTACTATTTCTTGTGACTCACAGCCTTTCTTTGTTCGTTTTCAACATAATTTTTTGTGATAATCTTTTGTTTATTTCATTCTCTATTTGTTTGAGCATGTTTCAATTTTTTTTTCTTATTGTGATTTGTATATTTTCTAATCCTTATTCACTTTTTGATTGGTTTCTTAAAAATTATGTTGAAAAATTGTTTTCATTCTAGCCTCTTGACTCTATGTTTATCTCCACTGGGAACCTTCTCTATGTTATTCTCCCGCCTCGCGGTTTCCCAAAGAGGTAGTATGCCTCTCTAGTATTCTCAGTCAAGAGCTACCAAACCTGTGACGTCACCGTGTATTATTTCTTGTGACTCACATCCTTTCTTTGTTCGTTTCAACATAATTTTTTGTGATAATCTTTTTGTTTATTTTCATTCTCTAGTTGTTTGAGCATGTTTAAATTTGTGTCTTCTTGTGATTTGGTTATTTTCTAATTCTTACTCACCTTTTTTCAATGGTTTATTCGAAATTATGTTGAACAATTGATTCATTCTAGCTTCTTGACTCTTGTGTTTATCCACTGGGAACCTTCTCTATCTTAGTCTCCCGCCTCGCGGTTTCCCAATGAGGTATTATGCCTCTCTAGTATTCTCAGTCAAGAGCTACCACACCTGTGATGTCACCGTGTACTATTTCTTGTGACTTCACAGCTTTTCTTTGTTCGTTTCCAACATAATTTTTGTGATAGTCTTTTGTTTACTTTAATTCTTTGTGTGTATGAAGCATGTTTCAATTTATTCTTCGTGATGCATTTTTTTTCTATTTCTTAGTAGACTTTTTCGATGTGGTTGTGCTATTGGTGAGTCATCAATTTGTAATTTTCTCTCTTCTTTTGTGTCGACTGGCTTTTCCTTTGTGGTCTCACCTTCTGTCCGGTAGGTTGCTTATTCTTTCACATTGTCATATTGACTGAGTTTGCTGATCTTAACACTTTTTTTACTTGATTCTCATCATGTCTAAACAACATGGAAATAAGAATTCTCCTGGAGACGATGAATCTTCAGCACCTACCTCAGGTAGTAGGAAGGAACACGCCTTGAAGGCTATCACCCTTGAGCGCATGCTCACTGAATTTGAACTTGGCATCCAAGGGATTTCTAAAGTCAACGAAGCAAATCTTGTTGGTCGAGCCTTCTTTGTATTTAAGGCCAAATTAGTTGTCGCCGAATCATATTGGTCAAGATTCCAGGTCACGTGGTATGAGAGAGCTGAATTGCAAATGCTGATAGGCGAATCAGACGATTTCCCATCGAACTCGTGGATGGATCGCTACTCTGCTTTGGAGAATGAGATAATTGAAGCAAGCGCCACTCTTCTCTGGGTCCAACACACAAAGGCATCACAACAAAGACAAGCAACAGTCTCTCATCCCGGTTCAGCATTTCATTCAACCGTGACCACTTTATCTTTTACCTACCCTACATCTAAGGCCATCAACTCACACTGCCAATTCAGTTCATCTGCAAGTGCCTCAGAGGCAAACAATTCAGAACGCAATTTTGTTGCTGAGCGCCCAGCTGCGCCAGAAAGGCATATAACCAGCGACACTTTGTTGGAAAACCATTGTGTCCGAGATTACTCAAATCAGCAGAAAACCTCCAAGAGGTTAACAGCGCTCCATGAGCCACTTCATTCAGATTCTGAATGCCCAGCCGCTTCAGATCCTGATGAACCCAGCGACATTTTGCTGCCTCCAGCTGAGCGTCGACTACATCGTGCCTCCACGAGGTCACTAGTCGATCAGTCTTCACAAACCAGGCTGCATGAGTCCCATTTCAAGAAATCTAATCGACCAGCTGCGTCAGATTTCAACAAAACCAACGATGTTCTGTTGGAAATTACAGTTCCTTCAGTAGCATCAGATCCTTATACATTTAGTGACATTCCACTTGAGTCATCTTCTTTGATCGAAGATAAACAACGTTGTCACACTTCCAAGATGTCGTTAGTACGACAAAAATATCTTTCTCCAAGGCTCCATGAGCTCCACTTGAAAACACATGATCGCCCAGCCGCGTCAAATCCTAAAACTGTGAACTACATTTCTTCAAGATACTCACATAGGCGGAGGAATGCAGAATCGCAATCCATCTTCGAGAAATACTCAACTGAATACAGTTTACCTCCAGCTAGATACATTACTCTGCAGCAGGCTCTGCAACTGCTTAGAGAAATCATATATTTACTTCGGGTAGGAGATACTGATGTTATCTTGTTTCCTTCATTTATCCGCCCACAACTCTTGTGTTATAACCAAGATGGCGGATACATGATCCTCGGATTGCGGCAGTTCTACAATATCAGTTCTACATCTCCTTCGGTAGAACCTGCCTAAGAAAATGGATATTCATTAAATTGTTCATGTTGAAAACTTCATTTGTGCCTATGACGCTTTCAGAGCGTTCATTATAGTTTATATCCAGAGCACTTTACTCTTCAACTTCACGCAGTGTTAAATATTTAGTTTTGGAACCAACATCTTTGCTCAACCATTTTGCAATCCATGATCTTTGAATTAGTCTCCGGTCTTCCACCTCAGTTTTAATCTCTACTCTGGTAGCTCAGTATTTTGTGCAATAAAGTTTCAAGTTCACTTTTTCCTTAAAATTCTCAATTCCTAATACTTAGGAAGTTCCACAGCAACATATTATTCTACATACCTTTTGTTCCCATGGTCTTTGCAGGGTGGGCGGTATGTGCAAACTTTTGTTTAGCTATTTTAATTAGTAACTCATGTGCTACAGTTTCTTTGTTTGTCATTTTGTATATGACACCAAACAGCAAACCTTACCAAGTATACCAAGATACGAGTAATCAAATACCCACCTCAGCTCCTTAATAAGTTGTTATGGACTAATAATTATGTAATAAAGTTTCTTCCAAACTTCAGAAAACCTAAGGTTTGGATAATGAACAGTACTGAATCATCTAAATTCATTTGCTGAAGAGTTGTAATATGCAATCAGTCAAACCGTTTGCTAAAAACAAAGGATAAATTCAGTCATAGGAAGTAATACATACTATTTTCAGTAAGTTTCTCTATGGAAAAGGTTATTAATATCTCAGGAACATTCCTAAAACAAAATTTTGAACAAATTTTAATTATATATCTCTGAGATGGAAGATCACTCAGAAGATTGTAAACTCCCTTAATCTTTTCTAGTTTGTTTTTCGCTTGGTTAAGAAGTCGTGTTTTATTCATTTATATTTTTCTATCTTTATTCTTTCTTTACGTTCAATGCCTTGTATCTATTCACTTTATCAATTTATTTTAGCAAATATGCATTAATTTTCTTCAATGAACATTTGTTCCTCTTTTTGCTTGATTGAAGCTCACCAAGGTACCATACAGATGTATTTTTCTTTATTTTTTTTAAATTATTAAGTATAATTTAGGTGGGCGGTTTGTTTAGGGTTGATCACCCTAAATTGGTGTTACTCCTCCCCCCCTTCATGGGGTACATAAAAGACCAGTGAAGTTGGTAACATTGCAGCGACGGTGGCGCTGTATGCACAAAATTTAGTAGTAGTAGGAGAAAAATGGGCGACTGAAGCCACACGGAGAAGAAGACGAATACTCTAGCCTCTTCAAGATTACTTTCTTGCTGTTCTACCATGGGAAGAGGCATCGAGTAGAACACCGAGACCCACCGGACACATGGAGGTGAGAAGTGTAGCAGCCGGCCGACCACCGATACCGACCATCGTACCAGCCACATCAAGTAAACAATTGTAGAACCATTATACGCCAAATCCCCATCTTTATATACTGTTTAAATATAATTATAATCAATTTCATACAGTCCGCTTGTTCTTTTCAAATACCCAATCATATGTACCATATCATAATAAAAATGACGGTACATCCCATTTCACCAATTATAAATATTATTTCAATAAACAAAGCATCACAATAATGGGTTAGACTGATAGATGTTTCAGTCGTCCTGACTAAAATAGATATTTCTCCATCGTACTTCAAGAACACGACACCTTATGGCAGGCTCAATATTGAGTGATATTTTCAACTTTTCTCGTGCTTTTGGATTGTTCCCTTTCGATCGAAAGTTTTTGTTATCCAAAAAATGGCTCATTTACGCTATACTATTTCAGCTGATCAATATGTCTACTGATACGGTTTTGATAATTTTGGAGATTCATGATGCTTATTCAAAAAAACTTTTTTGGAAGATTTTTCTATCAATTGATGTTATCGATAGATCATTTTCGCACTTTAGGCAAATATACACAGTCTTTTACATTATTCAAAGGCGGGATTCGATCTTCGAATTGATCAATAATATGAACCAGGTCATCGCCAGTGACGAAAAGTTTTCGAGTTATCGCTTTCAATTCACCCGAAACTGTTTTTTATTTATTGGTTGCATACAAATATCTCCAATTTTGTTTCTCAATAAACATGGAAATTACACAATGATAATTTTTTGTTTAGTATTGCTTGTTAATTTCACATCGACTGCTGCCATCGTGGGGCAGGTTTGGGATTTGATGCGAATACTTACAACCCTAGTTCATGACAATACATGTGAACTTGAGGAATGCTCTATTGATGCATTGGAAAATTTGAAGACCCTCGGGGAAGCTGTAGATGAAGTTTACGGCCCATTGCTGCTGATGGTGACTATATCAAGCGTTCCCCGAATAGTCATGGACTCATATGCAGTTCTTATGCAGCTCTTTGATTATAATTTGCATGTGAATATTATGTTAGTTACATCTTTATCTCTAGGTTTCTTTTTTGTGTCATCTATTGCGCATTCCTATAGAAAATTTCAAAGTCAGGTAACAATAAAGTTTTTATCTACATATCATTATTTGAAATATAAGTTTAATTAGAATTCAATTCATTGCACCTTATATAGTCCCATTTTGGTGACCATGATTAATAATCTGTTTTTTTCCCTTCGTTTCTGCCCTTTTCGTGTATTAATGCTATTGTATGCGGTTTTTTTCCGAGCCAGGATATGGAGTGAGGAATTAATGCCATTCTTAAAACCTCCATTAACTATCTACTGTTGGACCTTAACGATAGTATTTTGTCCAATTCTATCCAAGATTATGCATGATTACAAAAAAGCTCACCTCATTGGTTAGCATTCAAAAATAAAATTTTAAACTTACTATTAATTTCAGTCATTCTTTGTCGAATTAAAATATATTCTCTCATAGGAGTTTTTGAACTCTTGTCTTTAGATAGTGGGAACAATTGTTTCGTTGGCAATGATTTTTTTTTTCTCTTCTTGACCTTTTCGGTCATGTGGTTTTTTTTCCGGGCCTAGATAAAGGGTATGTGATTAATGGCATTGTTAAAAATCCCAATTAACTATCTGCTCTTAGAGCTTAACGATAGGCTTTTGTCCAACATTCTCTCCAAGATCATACGTCATAGAGTTTTATGATCACGTTCCTCGCTTTCATAGATTTGTATTGGTTCAGTAGCGATGTTCAGGTCAATCAACCTCAACTAGTTTTACCCAAAATGGGTCTTGTTTATAAACATTGTAAAAAACGTAGGCCATCGCTTCGATCGAAATCCGTTGATTGTAGTGGCAGTGGACGGTTGCGTTGCTGCCGTCGGAGTCAAATAATTCGTTCGTCCATTTTTCCGCACAATGTGTACGTCGTAAGATGATCTTACACGTCATTACTGGTACGACGGTAAAGGAAAAATTCCAATAGGAAAAAAACGCCATGTGTGTTCCCGGCCTTAGAGTACGATCCAAATAACGATCATTCAGACAATATTTACTGCAATATTTTATACGCAATTATAATTGTATATATTGCAAATGTTATTATGTTATCACTATAGAACAGAACATTTTATATTATTCATCTCGCCTTGTTGATGTTTTAACTTGTAACGTGTGGTCTTGTGCACTCACCGTAGTTTTGTTTTATATATTGTTGTCTTGGAGATATTATCAATTTTTTTTGCCCATAATTATGACTACTTCAAACCTTTTTATTATTATTTTTCTACTTCACAGCTACCGCTTTCGTCGTGGGACAGGTTTGGGATATGATGCAGATACTTACCATCTTGGTTCATGACTTATGACTTATGAATTATATGAATGCTCCATTAAGCCTAAGAACATGTTTCTACTATCGGGGAGTCTATTAGCGAAATACACCGGTCATTATTACTGGTGGAGATAGTTATATAATATATATTTGGATAATGGATCCGAGATTACATTTGGAGAGAAAGTATAAAATTAACAACCTACAATGAAATTTTTAATCAAAATAAATAATTGCTACTAACGACTTATTTTGGTTTATTATTTTTTATAATGAACCATCGTAACCGTCCAAAAAATTCAAAAATATAATCAGTCGATATTCAACGATATAATTAATTAAGTAGAAAATCCCTTTTTTTGATAAAAACCTTGTGTCTATAAAAAATCACATTATTTAAATATATGTAGAATGCAGAATACAACCATAAACAAAAATAAAATGCATTTTTGTAAACTTTCCGAATCTTATGATTGCTTCGTTCATCATCGTCAATATCGTTCCTATGGATGACGAAGTAGAAAGAAAGAGGAACAGGGAACAAGTGAAAGATGATTATATACACACATATATATATATATATATATATATATATATATATATATATATATATATATATATATATATATATATATATATATATACTATATACTATCATCTTTCACTTTTTCAGTGTCCCTCTTATTTCATTGGCGGGTACATGTCTACTTCGTTATCCATTGATACGATAACAGAGGTTGTGGGCGTGTTTCGAGTTGCAAACGATATCATCATTTTTTTGGCATACTTAAATACGGTTTTCTTCCCCTAGCCACTTCACATTGAGATAAAAAACACATTTTCCGCTTCTCAACAGTTAGAACGAAGTAAGATACGGAAAGTTTTTAAAACTTCGTTTGCTCTTTGTTTATGGTTTAATTCTGTACTCTACATCTATACAAATAATGTACTTTTTAATGGACACACCGTTTGTATCGGAGAGAGGGGTTTTCTACGGTATTAATTAAATATTGACTACTTACGTTTTAGGCTCGGTTTGTGATCTGATGCTGATTTAGACCAATTTTCTTCGTGAAACGAAGAAAAATTATGACGAAAATTCCATTCATCTTGGAACAATTTCGAGCCATTGGCAAAATGATCGATGATGTATGTGGTCCTCCTTTTATTTGCCTGTTTACGACGTTTTTTTCGGCATACTAGGTTAAATGCACCAGGTGCTGACATGCTTGAGGGAATTTCATTGAATTTTTAAGTGTCAAAGCTTAAATGTTGATGTTAATACATTTTTTATGGATTCGACAATTTTTATGGAGAACTATTTCTTGCTTTAACAAGACATATTTCCTGTTCCTAGGACACGAAGAGGACGGTAAAGAACTTTCCTAATTTGCCACTCATTATTTCGTTTGAAATTTCCGACAAGACTAAAGCAAAGCAGACAAACATAGAGGGAGTATAGATAATAAAAGTACATGAATTAGAGGTGTAGGAGGTCCTGAAATTTTATTATCAATAATTTTCGGGGAGGATGTCATGTATTGGTACTGGTAATGTGAGCTATTAGTGCTCCTACCCTAGTACCTTTGTATGACGTTTTAGGCTTATGGACAAAATTATTGAAAATATTTTAATATCGGTCACGTTTTTTAATAATTTAGCTACTATATTATATTACTGATTACTTGAATCAGGTAATATTTGTGGAGTTATTTTCTAATAAATAGTTTTTCCATTGTATCGCTTTATTTTGATGTAGGTTTTATGATATGATTCAATTAATATAAGATTATGTCTCTCTTGGCAGGAGATAAGGGTAATATATTTACATCTTTTCTAGATAAATACCGATAAAATACGAATAAGTTTTTCCTTCATGAATCCTTGGATGGGATATTCTATCACTCACACCGACCATTAGTAGGAATGAGGACTGTACTGCCTTAATCCAGTGACGACATGGATGTTTGGCCCAATTGCGGCTTTCGAAAAAAACATCATATTACCTAGTGCGCCTGCTGACCCTAAGCTACCACTATCCATAAATATAGAGTTTGCAAAATACGTGGTGCCTGACAACCTGTTAATTTTTTTATTGCTCCCCTACCTCAGCTTTTCGATTTTTCCTGGGCCATAGGAGAGGGCGGGGAGTTAATTCTACAGTTGAATGCTCACGGCACCGTGACTCTTGTCCCGGTTGAAATTGTAGTCTTCAGATTATATAATTGGCAGGCAACGCGTGTTTTGAACATGTATATCAATATTAATGTAAATATCAACCATAGCGACATATTAAATAATGTTTCATTCCTATTTCCCATTCCAGATTAACGAGTTCAACCATAAACTGCTTTGGAAAATGTTGAACGACAAAACCGGTCGTTATTCTGACAATGTAAGCTGTATAATTTATAATTTAATGTTTCATCGTAATTTTCATGTTATATCGTAAATGTGTTTGTTATAAATTAACAAACAATTTACTTTATTTAGGAAAAACTGAACTTTCACTTCACTGCTTACAAGGCTGTCAAGTTCACTGCATGTGGATTTTTCAACATGGATTACTCCCTTATTTCTTCTGTAAGTAATTGCATCCGGTATGAGTTAATTACGTTAGCGATCGGGCCAATGTTAGATAAGTTTAGAGTTTATTGATATTACTTGATTATCTGTTTCAGATGATTTCAGTATGTACAACCTACTTGGTCATAGTGTTACAATATGGGAAAGGATCAGCCGGCTAAAGGATACTCTGTTGTGTAATATCCATGTTAATATAATGTTAACAAATCAATTTTTCAGTAACGATATATGTAACATAATAATGTAAAAACTTTCCATTATTATGTAGTGTTACATCTTTCAATAAAATTATTTTAAGTTGATGTGGTTATTATAATCAATTTTTAAACCCATAAATGTCGGAGGTACAGATTTCTTTTTATCAAATTATTAACATCCGCCTAAAACTTCGTAAAAGGCTTCATTTATCATCGTCTACAAATTTTTGAAGTGAAAACTTCTATAGGCGCGTTTTGCACTTTTTTGTGGAGAGTGAATTAGATTGATCCATCAGATTTTAGCTCTTGGGTAAAGTCGACTATAGTCAACTAATTGAAACATATGATTTAAAATATCTCAGAAACTAAAAATCGGGTCTGCATACTTTATGCTAGAAAATTGTTCAGCGTTTCATCTTCTCTGCAATTAGCTATAATTCAAAATTGTATCTTAACGTGATGCCGTGTTAGGGAGGTGAAAAGGAATATATATTTTTTTTTAAAGACATGAATTAAAATATCTCAGATACTAAAAATCTGACCTGTATACTGTAAGAGAATGAAATGTTCAACATTTTGTCTTCTTTGTAATGACTTATTATTCGAAATTGTATCTTAACCCAATACCGTGTTGTAGAGTAAGAGATGGAAAAAGATAGTATCAATATCATAAAATAAAATCATATGATAATATATAGTACAAATTCTAATATTATAACAACATTGAAATTTTATTTTGACAACATTATTAACAATATTTAAAAAAATAACACGAGAAGTAATATAAATGATAAAAATATCAGAAATTCTTAGGCATAATGGAAAATATATAATATATAAGTAAATTTTAAATCATTAGTACAGGTAGAAGTCGGGCTGAAGCCCTTCTCTCCTCTCCCCCTCCACAAATAGTAAAATACAACTACATCTTATGAAAAAAATATTTAATAATTATCTCTAAAAGTATAATTGTTCGTGTAATTACATTTAATAGTACTTAAAGAATCGTTTAAACTCAATGTCATATAGGCAGTTAGTTTCTTTCTTTTTCTTCCTAAGTACTTATCATTATATATTTAAAAAAAAAAATCTTTAGGGCTGAAATCCCCCCCTCCCAAAACTAAATCTTGGATCCGCTAATGATTCATTAGGACATTTTTAGATTTGCTTTGCTTTGATGTCTATATTTTATACAATAAAACTTTGTTATTTACTTTAAAAATTAACCCTAAATACAATATACATAGACCTCGCGCGGGCTCATTACCGCGTATGGGGAGCGTCCCACGGGTGGCGGATGTGGGGATGGTCGGTGGAAATTCCTTGGAAGTTCCTCCCGGCTAAGTCCGATGGACTCGCTGACCAACAATGAGAGGGGCCCTCCAGACTTGCTGGAGGGAGGGGACCTCCAGACTTGCTGGAGGTAGGGGCCCACCAGACTTGCTGGAGGGTGTGACGTAGGATTGAACGCCCTACTCACATATCTTTAGTTCACCAAACACCACAAAAAGTCATGGATCTCCCTAAGGTAAAACGCTCATTATCCGGAGGTAAACTAGTCCCCCGTTCGGGTCTCCGGGTGGGGACTGCTTTAGGGGATTCATGCCGCAAGTTGAAATATAGGGATTTAAATATTGGTACGTGGAACGTAAGGAGTTTAAACACAGCAGGGGAGCTAAAATCGGTCGCGAATGAGGTAAATGGGTACAATTTGGATGTCGTGGCTCTGCAAGAGGTTCGCTGGCCAGGGGAGGGCTCGATGAGGGAAGGAAAGTACACTATTTGGTACGGAGGAAGCGGGAATCATTGTTTAGGTACCGGGTTTCTAATTAGGAGTAGATTACTATCCGCTTTGAGGGACGTACAATTCTTTAGTGATAGAATTTCGGTAACTACATTTCAGGGACGTTGGTTTAAAATCGCATTAATAAACATACATTGTCCGACCGAAGACAGTGACGATGAAGTCAAAAGTGAATTTTACGATAAACTCGAATGGGTTTATGATAAACTACCGCGAAACTACATGAAAATAATTGTAGGTGACGCGAACGCAAAGGTAGGAAGGGAAGAAGTTTATATTCAGACGATTGGTAAAGAAAGTTTGCACGAATATAGTAATGATAATGGGATCCGTCTGATAAACTTTGCCATCTCGAAAAACCTGGTAATTAAAAGTACGACGTTTAAACGTAAGGATATTCATAAATATACTTGGACATCGCCGGATTCGCAAACACGAAATCAAATCGATCATGTCTTGATACAACACAGCTGGCAAAGCAGTATAATCAATGTACGGTCTTATCGCGGAGCAGAATGTGGGTCGGATCATGAATTAGTAATCGCGAAACTTCGACAAAAACTTAATATAAAAAAGAGAAAAGAAAACCGTTTCGATTTTGAGAATTTTAATTTGGAAAAATTAAAAAATCCATCAATTAGAAACCAATTCGAGCTAGATGTTAAGAATAGGTTTGAAGCTTTAGAGCTTCCTGACGAGGACCACGAGGATATTGACAAGTTATGGGTAGAGATCAGGGATAATATTAAAGCGGTCGGTAACTCGTGTCTAGGAAAAAAGGAAAATAAGAATAACAAACCGTGGTTTGATGAAGATTGCTTAAACATGTGCGAAAAAAGGAAAGCCGCTAAATTAAAAGCTCTAAATAATCCTAGCGAAGACAATCTGGAATACTTCCGAATCTCAAAGAACGAAACGACAAAATTGCTCAAAAATAAAAAAAGGGAGTATCTTAAAAATAAAATAATTGAAATAGAAACTAATAGAATCGAAAATAACGTAAGAGACATGTACAAAGGTATAAACAGATCACGGAAATATGTAGGGCCCGTAACGTCTGGAATTAGGGATGATAATAACAATATTCTGACCGATCCGGTTGACATATTGAATAAGTTTAAGGAGCACTTTGACAATATTTTAAATACGGGAAATTATGATCTGTGTCCTCCTTCTGAGTTCCAGAGTGCTGAACCATTGATAGAAGGACCAAGTAAAGAGGAAGTTGAAGTAGCTATCGGTAAATTAAAATCATATAAAGCAGCGGGAATCGATAATATTCCTACTGAACTAATTAAGGCATGCGGGGAAGCTGGAGTTTCTAAAATACATCGGTTGGTTGAAAAGATCTGGGTGAACGAGAAATTACCTGAAGAATGGAAAGAATCTATTCTTATTCCGATTCACAAAAAGGGTCCGAGGACGGATTGTAATAACTATCGAGGAATTTCACTCCTTCCGGTATGTTATAAAATATTCACTGTAATCTTAACCAGTCGAATCACGGAATACGCCGAGGAAATTATCGGAGACTACCAATGCGGATTTAGACGGAATCGTTCGACTATTGATCAAATATTTTCTTTACGGCAAATATTAGAGAAAAAATTGGAGTATAACGGTATTGTTCACCAGCTGTATATAGATTTTAAAAAGGCTTACGATTCTATTGACCGCCACAAACTGTATAATATTCTAATCGAGCAGGGAATTCCAAAAAAACTAGTAAATCTAGTCAGGATGTGCTTGACGGAGACAGTCAATAAAGTTAGAATCGGTAATAATTTGTCCGAAAAATTTGAGGTTCGTTCGGGCTTAAAACAGGGGGATTCTCTTTCGCCTGTCCTGTTCAATTTGGCATTAGAACATGCCATTAGGGAGGTAATGCGTACCGAAAAAGGGTTGGATCTGGGTGGGACAACATCCGTGCTGGGCTATGCTGATGATCTGGTACTGTTAATCGAAGACGTTGAAACTATAAAACTAAATACGACAACGTTAATGAAAGCCGGTAAAGAACTAGGACTCGAAATAAACGTGGATAAAACAAAATATATGGTTAGCTGCAAAAATGGCGATACTACTGGTGATATCGATATAGATGGTAATATGTTTGAACAGGTAGATAAATTTAGGTATTTAGGTTCTACGATAACTAGAAAAAACGAAATTGAAGAAGAGATTAAAGTTAGACTGAAGGCGGGGAATGCTTGTTATTTTTCTGTGACAAAACTACTCAGTTCGCGCCTCTTGTCCCGAAACTTAAAAATTAGAATCTATAAAACAATTATCTTGCCTACAATTCTTTATGGATGCGAAACTTGGCCGCTTACATTAAGGGATGAGCAGCGTCTTAAGGTTTTTGAAAATAAAGTATTGCGTAGAATATTCGGACCGAAGAAGGATGAGTTAACCGGAGAGTTCAGACGGTTACACAACGCCGAATTGCGTGAGCTATATCCGGGTAATATAATTGAGGTAATTTCATCGCGGCGAATCAAATGGGCTTGTAAAGTTGTTGGTCTTAGTAACGAGAGAATTCCTAAAAGGTTAATATTTGCTGTGCCGAATGGTAAGCGTCGGAGGGGTAGACCGAAGCGAAGGTGGGAAGATTGCATTAAAGCTGATCTGAAGGGACTGGGTTTGGACGGCGAACGGTGGAGGGAGGTGTGTAACAAGCGATTGGTGGTGTCGGCATCGAACCTTCGGGTTCGCTAAGCCTTATTATTATTATTATTATTTATTATTACAATATACATAGAATACCTGGATTAGTAAAGTTACATAAAAGTGGCACTCCAGTTAGTCCTATCATAAATGCCCATTTGTATTCGACTTGAATAATAAGATTATTTGATCACAAAATAGAAAAAAAAAAGTGGTGTAAAAAATTTTGGGACATTTGACTAAGGTCTCTTATCTAGCTCCTCCTATCTGGCATGCCATGTTGTGGCCATATAATTTATAAGTATGCTAGGATGTTTCTGTAAGTTGTCATGGAATCGTTTGGAGTGGGATGGTATGTATTTGTTAACAGTCGGCATATGAAGGTCAGTATATAAGAATATGTTATGTACCATGGTGCTTTTGTCCTGAATGTTTTTGCTTCAATTTAAACATACTAAACAATACAGTTTTTCACCCACTATATATAAAATTT